AATAGAATAGAATAGAATAGAATAGAATAGAATAGAATAGAATAGAATAGAATAGAATAGAATAGAATAGAATAGAATAGAATTCTTTATTGGCCAAGTGTGATTTAACACAAGGAATTTGTCTTGGTGCATATGCTTTCAGTGTACATAAAAGAAAAGATACATTCGTCAAGAATCATAAGGTTCAACACTTAATAGTCATAGGTACAATAAGCAATCAAATCATACTAGGAAACAGTCAATGAAAATCGTTAGGATACAAGCAATAAGGTTACAGTCATAAGTGGGAGGAGATGGGTGAAAGGAAGGATGGGAGGATTAATAGTAATGCAGATTTAGTAAATAGTTTGGCAGTGTTGAGGGAATTATTTGTTCAGCCGACTGATGGCATTCGGGGAAAAACTGTCCTTGTGTCTAATTGTTCTGGTGTGCAGTGCTCTATAGCATCGTTTTGAGGGTAGGAGTTGAAACAGTTTGTGTCCAGGATGTGAAGGTCTATAAATATTTTCACAGCCCTCCTTTTGACTCCTGCAGTATACATTGAGATGAAGAGCATAATTATCAAGTAAAAGATGACATCCAACTACTGAAATAAATTGTATCTGTTTCTTACAAACACTGTCAGTGAAAATTGAGGCAACATGGCGTAAAAACCATCAATCTAGCCAGAAAGTATTTCTAGAATACATTAGCTGCTCTCCCTTTCCCTCACCCTCCCTTGCAGGTGCACTGATATGAACGAATTGAACTGGGAATATTCTTCATGCTTCAAAGGCTTTTTAATTCAGCATGATGAGTATGTGTTTGCAACAGACAGCACAATTCTTTGGTGTGCAAGAAAGGCTGGCCCATGCACAGGCAGCTGGAAGTCCCTTCGACCCCTGATGACACAATTCAAAGCCTCTTCTGTTTGGCTTTTTGATTTCTGATTGACATATTCACTGCTGGCTGGAGATAAATGCCATTGGAAGGACAATGTTGATCCGCTCCAACTATTCTGATGAAGGGCTTTCTTCTTTTTCTTCTTCTTCTTCTTCTTTGAATAATAAACAAAACAAAAATGGTGTGCTTAAGTGTCTGAATAGAGCTCAAAACAGAGAAGTAGTATAGTGGCTTTAAAGAGGCTGGCAAGTCACTTGAAGTGTTAATTGTCTGGGTGTACAATGTGTTTATTCTGACTGCAGACAAAGCACTCTCTTTCTCTGATAGAAATTCTTTAAAAAGGATATGTCAAAAGGACCAATAGCTGCTGGTTTTCTTCTTACAAATGGCATCATTTGGGCATTGTTTTGAAAATCTTGACTCCTAAAATGCTGGGTACAAGTGGCATGACACTGAAGTTCAATTACCAAGCTTTCCTTATGACTTTAGAAGACTATGCAGAAATTCAGCTAACAGTGCAACTAAAAATGATTATCACACCTGACAGCCATGCTGCTGATGCATAGATATTGAAGGAAATTAAGTATTTATTCCCAAATTACATAGGAGTTATATATAGATAGTCCTCAATTTACAACCATTCATTTAATGATCATTCAAAGTTACAACACTAAAAAAATTGTAGGAATTACCTACAATTGCAGGAATGGCTGAACATAACTTCCAACTTTTTCTATGTAGCAACAAAATTAGATGACGCTTTTATCTGCCTTTAAACCTATGTACCTTGGCTGGCCACCATGTCTACACCTAAATTTACTGTTGCTATTGTAGCCATATAGAATGACAATATGACCCAGAAACTTTAAACTGTAATCTATGTCAGTTAAAGATTTACATCATGATAGTCTCTTGCTGGAAATCTGGGCACACAGAGGTTATTGCGCATTAAGGTGATATATCAGTACTAGAAGGGAGATCTACTTCAAATCAAAGATAACCATGAAATTTGCTTCAATCAGTGTTGCTCTCTCAAAGCTACATTACAACATCCAGAATCTGGTGATGCTTCAGGAAACAAACAGTAAGTAATGTAAACAATATATACCATTATCAGTACAACCCAAATCTCAGATGTCAATTTCTTTTTATCCAAGTCACCAGTACAGGTAATCTCCGCTTATTACCCAGAAAACTTATTACTATAAGTAATAAGTCATAGGCCATAAATCAAAGGCACCCATATGACCAGAAGTAATTTTCTAGCCTTTTTCGTGAGAGTTGTCAAATGAATGCCACAGTCATTAAGCAACCTCATTCATTTAAATGGGAGGGGTTTTTTTAAACCAGAAACTGGCAAAGAAATATTGCAAATTGTGATCATGTGACCATGGAATGCCGCCAAAGATTTTTAAAGCTAACATGCAGTCACATGATTGTGGGGGACGTGACCATTTAAAATCGCTGGGAGTGCGATAACTTTGATATCATAACTTTGAACAATCATAAAACAGCCAGTCATTAAGAGAGGACTATCT